AGAATTAAGAGAGCTTAAGGCTCAAATCAAAGAGCTTCTTGATAAATGATTCATTCATCCTAGTGCTTCACCCTGGGGTGCTCATGTCTTGTTTGTTAAGAAAAAGGATGGTATTATGAGAATGTGCATAGACTATCGTCAATTGAATGGGGTCACCATTCGAAATAAGTATCCATTGCCTCGGATAGATGATATTTTTGACCAATTGCAGGGTGTATCGGTTTTCTCTAAGATGTGTTTTTAGTGATGTCGTTTGGGTTGACAAATGCACCCGCAGCTTTCATGAGTTTGATCAATGGTGTGTTCAAACCCTTTCTTGATTCGTTTCTGACAGTGTTCATTGATGACATTTTGGTTTATTCAAAAAGTGAGGAAGAGCATCTCAACCATCTTTGTATTGTTCTGGGTGTTCTTGGGAAACAAAAATTGTATGCAAAATTTTCTAAGTATGAATTTTGGTTGACTTCGGTTGCCTTTTTTAGGAATGTAGTTTCAAATGAAGGGGTAATGGTAGATCCCCAAAAGATTGAAGCGGTTAAGAATTGGGTCCGACCAAGTTCTGTGACTGAAATTAGGGGTTTTGTGGGGCTCGCTAGCTACTATCGTCGGTTTGTGAAAAACTTTGCTTCTATTGCTACACACTTGCAACAAATTTGACCAAAAAAAAGATACCTTTTGAATGGACTGAAAAATGTGAGGAGAGCTTTCAAAAGCTCAAGACTCTTTTGACCACTACACATATTCTAGCGCTACCGGTGGAAGGTAAAGATTTTATTGTTTATTGTGATACTTTACATTCAGGCTTGGGTGCAGTGTTGATGCGGCATTTGAAGGTGCATGAGAGAAATTATCCAACACATGGTTTGTAGTTGGACGCGATAGTGTTTGCTCTTTAGATCTGGCGGCATTATCGTTATGGTGTCAAGTGTGAGGTGTTTACCAATCATCGTACACTACAACATGTATTCACTCAAAAGGATCTGAATTTGAGACAGCAAAAGTGGATGGAGTTACTCAAGGATTATGATATGACCATCCAGTATCATTCGGGTAAGGCTAATGTAGTGGCGGACGCACTAAGCCGAAAGGCGGTGAGTATGGGTAGTCTAGCTTGCTTGAGTGTATCCAAGCGACCTTTGGCTAAGGAAATCCAAACCTTAGAATCTAAGTTCATGCAGTTGGGGATCTCAGAGAAAGGTGGGGTGTTAGCTAGCATTGAAGTAAGGGTCACGTTCATTGAGGAGATCAAGGCCAAACAATTTGAGGATGAGCATTTGTAAGAGCTCAGAAATAAAACAATGTTTGGCAAGGCACAAAAGACCACTCTTGATGCGGGAGGTGTACTCAGTTTTAAAGAAAGGATTTGTGTTCCTAGGGTGGGAAACTTGATTTAGAATTTATTGACAGAATCCCATGGTTCAAGGTATTCCATTTATCCGGGTGTGACTAAGATGTACTGAGACTTGAAGAAACTCTATTGGTGGCCTGATATGAAGAAACATATAGCGGAGTTTGTGGCTAAGTGTCAGGTGGGAAACTTGATTTAGAATTTATTGACAGAATCCCATGGTTCAAGGTATTCCATTTATCCGGGTGTGACTAAGATGTACTGAGACTTGAAGAAACTCTATTGGTGGCCTGATATGAAGAAACATATAGCGGAGTTTGTGGCTAAGTGTCAAAATTGCCAACAAGTAAAATATGAGCATCAAATACCGGCAGGTTTGCTTCAGAGAATGCCAATTCCGAAATGGAAATGGGAAAGAATAGCTATGAATTTCATGGTTGGTCTTCCCAAGACATTGGGAAAGTATGATTCTATTTGGGTAGTGGTTGACAAATTAACTAAGTCAACCCATTTTATTCCAGTCAGAACAGACTATAATGCTCAGCAATTGGCTAAGGTGTATGTAAAAGAGATAGTAAGATTTCACGGGGTGCCCCTTTCTATCATCTCAGACCGTGGTACGCATTTCACATCTATGTTTTGGGGAAAATTGCATGAAGAATTGGGTACTCAACTCACCTTTAGCACAGCCTTCCATCCGCAGACGGATGGGCAGTCGGAGAGAACTATCCAAGTATTAGAGGACACGTTGAGGGCATGCGTGATTGAATTTAGAGGTCATTGGGATAAATTGCTCCCCTTGTGTGAGTTTTCCTATAATAATAGTTACCACTCCAGCATTGATATGGCACCATTTGAAGCATTGTATGGGAAGGGATGTAGATCACCCCTAGGATGGTTTGAAGCTGGAGAAGTGAAACCTTTGGGGGTTGATTTAGTGAAGGATGCTCAAGATAAAGTGATGAGTATTCAAGCTAAGCTTTTAGCATCCCAAAGTAGATAAAAGAAGTATGCAGACCATAAAGTAAGAGACATGACATTTCAGACTGGTAAGAACATTCTTCTTAAGGTATCACCCATGAAAGGGGTGATGAGATTCGGCAAGAAGAGCTAGTTTAGTCCTCGATACATTGGGCCATTTGAGGTTCTTGACTGGGTAGGGCCAGTAGTTTATAGATTGGCTTTACCTCCTAACCTATCGGGAGTGTATCTGGTATTTCATGTGTCCATGTTGAAGAGATATCATGGTGATGGAGATTACATAATAAAATGGGACTCAGTTGTGTTAGACAAAGATCTTTAGTATGAGGAAGAACTATTTGCAATTCTTGATCGTGATGTTCGGAAGCTGAGGACCAAGGAGATTAAGTCTGTGAAATTTCAATGGAAGAATCGTCTCGTTGAGGAAGCCACTTAGGAGACCGATAAGGACATGTGAGACAAGTATCCCCAGTTGTTCGTCGATACAGGTACTACTCCACTCTTGCTTTAGCCTATTTTTCCTAGTCTGTCACTTGGGGACGAGTGATGGGTACATTTTTATCTATTGTAATGACTGTTCCCATCGTTAAAGAAAATCCAACAGGAAACAATTTTGGACCGAAATACTTTTTGGTAGTATCTTGAAATTTCCCAACCAAGTCTAGATTTGGATGAAATCGGAGTCAGTGAGGTCTAGGTAAATCTGGTAACAAATGGGAGATCAAATTATGAATTTGATCATACGAGTAGAAAGCTAAAATGTTAAGGAACCCGTACGACTTTACAAAATTGAATTCGAGCGAGTAGAACTCCTGAAATTGATCTTAGCGTGAACGGGTATTTTCCGAATGTCATGGGATGAAAGTGTATTGGGAAATGGGGGTTTGGAACTCTTAATTTAGCTCTCTGTTTCCGTGCAAGCCGCCAAGATGGGATTTTCCCGCCAAAGCGGAGCCGCTGTAGTGAGGCGAGGACCGTTGTGGCGGGGCAGACGTGACTTAAGTCGAAAATAAACCCCAAAAATGATGTTCTGCAATTTTCGACCTTGAGAGCTAAGGAACGATCTCAAGTGTTTTCTTGACAGCTTTTCACCCTTGTTGAGGCTAACGGTAAGGTTTTCACTCCCCGAATCCATTTTCAATTTGTAGAACTTAGTTTCTTAGGTAATTATCGATGGGGAAGGATTTTGATCTAGGATTTATGGTGGAAAAAGCCCTAATCTGGGTATGGTGATCAAGGGTTTGACCTAGGGTTGATTTTATTGATTATAATCCAGGTATTATGGTCTTGTTTATTGATCCTCGCATTATATTAACTGTTTATAGACCAAGAACAAGCGGAGAGAATCCAGAAAGGGAAGAATCAAGTTTCTCAGGGGATTCAATCTTTGTTCGAGGTAGGTGATGGTTATGATTTCATGTTTGTGTGATATATATTTGTAATTTCTCCATTTTATGTATGTATGTATGCGAACGTTGCATTATTGATCACACTAATCGTAAATAAGGATGATTGAATAATTGTATGTCATGAATCAACACTTTATTGTATAATTATGAGAATGTACATTGTGCTTATGATTGTGCCTTGTTGAATGGATCGGGTGTTATGTTCCAACACACTAACTGGGATCGGGTACCACGTACCGGTACACTAACAGTTTGGGTATGGGTTCCATGAGAGGACCAATGACTTGGCATATATGTATATCTTTGAGATGGTGAAATTGTATGTTGTTTGTAAGTGATAATTAATATTGTATATGTTCGGTGTATGCATTTTTATTATGTTGTAATGACTTGTATATATTTCACCTATTGGGATAGTTGTGTGATCCTACTAGTACACTGTGGTTGTGTACTGATATTGCACTTGCTCTTTCTTTGTTGAGTACAGGACATCTTCAGACGGCTACTGACAGAGCTCATTTAGAAGATCACTGA